CGCATGACTTGTAATTCTCTGCTCGCCGTTTCTCAAAATCGACGTTTCAGGACACTCTTCACGACAAAACTGCACACCAGTGAGGAGACAGATATTCTCCTCCGCGGAGTCAGCTCGGACATGATGACCCAGATACTGGATTATGTTTATTTTCGCGAGGTGGACATCCGCTCCGACAACGCGTTACGGCTGCTCGAGACGGCTGAGTACTTGTGTGTACCAGGAGCTACTGAACTCTGCTGCGACTTCCTCAAGGACGCGATGGACGTCGACAACTGTGTCGGCATCATGCAGTTCGCAAGGTAATTACTGTTCATTTGTCATTTGCTTTGACGCCAGTCTTCGTCGCTGGAGGGAATCACATTTACTCAAGAGAGCTGTCGATTGCCGAGTCGGAGATTAAAACCTCTGACTGAGGACGGCGAATTATAGTACGTTGGCAAGTTGCTATTAATGTGCCTATAATTTAAATTTTCTGATTTAACTGCATATATTTTGATCGTCATTATGACGAGCAGATGACTAATTTCACCATGTAGAAGGTGAATCCTGACCTATTTCATGGTCACGATTAAATTTGTCTTCTTCTCGAATTAATTTCAATCATTCTTTCTTTCTCTGCGACATTCCTTGCTGATTACATAATTCTCCCAAATATCAAAATCAACATTCAGCCCGACATCTTTCTGTATCCACCAAAACCTCTGTTAACCGAGCCTCGATTACTCGATTCCCGCATTAAGCGACCGAATTTCAACCAGATCGTTTGAGATTGGATTCCACCGGCGAAAGTGTTTAAAGCGATGTCCACGCGGTACAGTTCATTGATCTAACCTCACCCCAGATTTTGCTGATTATTATGAACACTTCAAGACATTTAGAGAAATGGTTATTATTAAGGGCAAAGACAAATACCAACCCGCTGGTTCCCGTAGAAGATGAACCCTTACTCCTTCTTGTTGAGGACAACACAGCAAGCAAATCAACTGACATCGACAGAATCACATCAGAACCTCCAGTTCATGCGATGGACAGAATGACTGATAAGTTCATAATTTTAGTACAGGGACTTCCTCGAACAGCGCTCACGAGTGACAATCGCCGTCGGCTTGTGCGTGCGACACGCCCGCATGAACCGCAGTCGAGCAAAATCTGTATTGAGTCTCTACTTATTTGTTCAGTTCCATGACCACGTCCCCCTTTCCCACGGTCGTCCGACTTATCGGCTTATCCGACCCGTGGTTTCCCCCATTTAGTCCGGTTACACGAGGTTTCACTAAATTAAGATACACAGTTAACACAACGTCGTTTCCCCAAGGTTAATGCCAGAATTCAAAATTCTACACTCCTCATCTCACTGCCTTCTTCACTTGCGTACTCTTGTTTCAACCTATAACCTTATCGCGAGGACAAGCGGGCATTGCCTGGGACACTTCAGAGTCGAAAACTTTCTATTTTGCTCCGGTTAAACGAAGCATCCATCGTCGTAGCCTCTCCACGTGTCTGCTCTCAGTCTCGCTCATTTGGGCTTCAAACGGCTAAGGCAAAAACTGCAGGCGAAATACTGTGGTGTGGTAACACTTCAGAATTCAGTTGTTGCTGTAATATTTCAATGTGTCAGACTTAGGATCTGAGTCGGCTCTTACCTTCGCTGTCGTAGGTTACACTGCATCGCCGACCTCGAGACTCACGCTCGTCGCTTCGTTCTGCGCCACTTCGTGGAATTGTCTCAGCAGAGCGAAGAACTTTCGGAACTGCCTCCAGAGGAGCTGCAAGCGGTAATCGAGGCCGAGGAACTGAACGTGAAGGACGAGAGAGTTGTGTGGGAGTGCATTCTCCGGTGGATCAACCACGACCCGGACAACAGGAAAGGTCACATCGCGGGCCTTTTGAAGGGCGTCAGACTGGGACGACTTGACGCAAAGTTTTTCAATGAGACGGTCAGTATGCCCCTGTAATCGTGGATGTTGATTGGAAGTAAATCCCGCATTTTCAAT